TTTAGCAAGCGAAATTGGGGCCGGCAATTCGGTCGTTGAGTGAAACAGTGGCTAAGCTTTCCATCGGCTTTGCAGCCTTGCCAAGGTCGCAGATGGGAATGGCTGGCCGCAAAGTTACTGTTTCCACACCCTCGTACCTGCGCATAGTCGCTGTCGGAGACGGTCGCTAAACGAGGACTGGGCGGTAGCGACCATTATAACCTCTTCCCGTTCCTGCTCAGGTGGTACCTGAAGATGCTGCAGTGCGTTCACTGTCGCCAGTGGTTTCACGAAGCTTGCATGCAGTGCCTGAACGTCCCCATGCTCTTTGGAGATCGGTAGGTGCGGCCTGTTGGCTGAGGAGGAAGGGTTTTGTAGTCCAAGCCCTACCGAAGGCAGCAGCTGGAGTGGGGCAGGCGGGAAGCTGATTACAGTTCTTCCACACGTCTAAAATGAATAATCAGAGCCTGTTCTTTTTTTCTCTCTTGCGTTTTCCAGATTTTATATTTTCTACTGCACGGTGTGTAATCAGGGACCCGAGTATCTCAAACGCTTGCCTTTAAGATGGTAAGGCCTGCTGCCCCCACCCCCCCCAATAAAAAGATTCTCATTCACTGTATCTTATTGCAACAGGCACCACTTAGCCCTTGGGGGGTGGGTGGGGGAGGAATTAGCAAACCATGTTACGCCCTAGAGAGCTTCCTCCGTTCTCATCCTGGCCCCGCTAAGTTTTTCAAAGTTGGCTTCTGGATTCCGGCTTCTTTATGACGAGAGCCAATAAGAACGGCCTCCCCCAGAAAGCTAGGGGGGGTGGAGGTGGTGCTCTGGTTGTTTTTAGCATCGTTTGAAAATGTTAACGCTGGAGCAGGAAATGGTTGGAGTGGCGTGGCTTCACACGTGCGTTAATTTGAGCAAACAAGAGTGGAAGGCAAAGGATGCTTGTGTGATATAAGGAACCCAGTTCTTGTATGCCGTTTGAAGGTTTTTACTGTAGACCTTTATGAACTGTATGGCTGGTAGTGTTTATTATTATGTTATTATTGTGAGAAATGTGAACAAGGAGGAGGAGGAGGAGGAAGGAGATGAGAAATAGGAGAAGGAGGAGAAGAGATGAGGAAGAAGAGGAGAAATAGGAGGAAGAGGAGGAGAAGAGATGAGGAAGAAGGAGATGAGAAATAGGAGGAGATGAGGAGCAGGAAGAAGATAAGAAATAGGAGGAGAAGACATGAAGAGGGATGAGAGATATGGGAGGAGGAGGAGGAAGAAGAAGAAGAGGAGAAATAGGAAGAGAAGAGATGAGGAGGAGGAAGATGAGAAATAGGAGGAGGAGGAGGAGGAGGAGGAGGAGGAGAAGACATGAAGAGGGATGAGAGATATGGGAGGAGGAGGAGGAGGAAGAAAGAAGAAAGAAAGAAAGAAATAAAGAGAAAGAAAGAAAGAAAGATTCAGTCATCAGGAAATGCTATTCCCCATGCCTTCCCCTTATGCTATAAAAATTGCCCTCTCCCTCCTGCTATCCTTTCCCTTAATGGGAAGGTCATTGTCTCCTTTGTTTTTTGAACACACACACACACACACACAAACACAGGGTGGATGTCGTGCACCTTGCCCTCTACAACCTGGGCGTGCAAAGCAAGAAGAAGTATTTCAACTTTGAGGAAATTTTGGCCTTCGTCAATCACCGCTGGGACCACTTTCAGCTTGGCAAGGTACAGGATGTGTGTGGGGGTGTGTGTAGGTGGAAGGCAAAGCCTCAAATCCTTTCCTTTACCATTTGCTTCCCGTTGAAAGCGAGCTCCCTTCCTCTGGAGCGGTTCTATAGAATAGGATCTATACGCTAAATGAGAGATACTTAGATGCTCACTCCCTCTTTGCATGAGAAAGTCGGGCAGGAATGGGGTGTGTGTGTGTATGGCAAAGGGGTTGACTGGGGGTCTTCTCCAGACTCAACTGGGTATCAAATCTGGGATCTTGAGGTGGGCAAAGTAAGTTCTCAAAAAGTTTTTTTCCCCTCTTCCCTAAAACTAAAAGCAAGACTCCGGCAAAAAGTTGGGACGAGCAAGAATGGACCCACGAAACTCCACAGAAGATTAGAGAAGGATTGTGGATGCTGGATTGTGGATGCTGGTGTGAAAAGCTAATTTGGGGCTAATTTTGCCTTTAAAAAAATCTCTTCCCTAGTTGGCTGCAACTCCTGTGGCAGAACGAGGTCCTTTCCTTCTAGATGCACTAAACAGCTACAAAAGCAGGTGAGCCTCAAAGAATCTATTCTCCCAAGAGGTGTAAAGATTCAGCTGACTCGGTAGGATATTTGTAGCTGAGGGTTGAGTTGTGGGGTCCTTGCTGCTCTCTGAACTTGGTGGTTTTCTTGCAGACGTTTCATTACCCAACTAGGGGACATCATCATTGCTAGAAGGGAGTGGAGTGTGAGAGGAGGAGGAGGAGGAGGAGGAGACTGTGGGGTCCTTGATGCTCTCTGAGCTTGGAGGTTTCCTTGCAGACGTTTCATTACCCAACTAGGGGACGTCATCAGTGCTAGAAGGGGGTGGGGTTTGGGCAGAGGATTGTGGGGGTCCTTGTGGACGTTTCTTTTTTTCATTCAACCAAGATGCTAGATTGTCTCGGTGGCCTTTCAGGTTCCTCTGCGGGAGGGAAATCAAGAAAAAGAAATGCATCTTTCGCCTGCGGGTTCGAGTCCCGCCGTATCCTCCCAGCAAAATCCTCCCGGAGAAGTTGGCAAGACTGAGCGAGCCAAAGAAAAGAGGGAAATGCAAACACACCCACAAAAGCAGGTCGGTAGAAGCGAGCAGAGGCGCTTAGCTTGAGTTTTCAAGTTTCTTTCCCTTTGTTCTTTGTGCCGCCGGTCTGATTCCTTGTCATTTCTCCCCCCCCCCCACTTCCTTTCCAGTTTGCAGCCTCACCAATCCCAGCACGAACGGAGAAGGAAAAGGCCCAAATTCCTTTTGGAGGATGCTATTCCAAGTGTCAGTTTGCAAAAACGTTGGGCTTGGGGGGGGGGGAAACATAGCTGTGGGGAATTGCCTCCAAATTCCTTGTGGGGCTGGGAGAGGATCGTGGGTTTTCTTGAAAATTATTTTCCCGCTTGAGGATGCTGGATAACGGCTGTTTGTTTGTTTGTTTGTTTTTCTCCCCCTCTCTGTCTCGTTTCCATTCCTGCCACAGAGTGATTTTGCCTCGGCTTGGAGCACCAACCATCACCTGGCCTGCATCTTTGATTTCTCCCTGGATGAAATCCAGAGTCTAAAAAGGTAACTGCACATCTGCCTTAGTGCAGTGATCCGATTCCAGCCCTTGTAGATAAAAAGATCCATTTCTGAGCGGTCCTTGAAGCTCTCTGAGCTTTAGTTGCTTTCTTGCAGACGTTTCATTACCCAACTAGGTAACATCATCAGTGCTAGAAGGGAGTGGGGTTTGCAGGGAGGAGGAGGAGGAAGGGAGGAGGAAGACTGTGGGATCGTTGGTGCCCTCTGAGCTTGGTTGTTTTCTTGCAGACGCTTCATTACCCAACTAGGTAACATCATCAGTGCTAGAAAGGAGTGGGGTTTGCAGGGAGGAGGAGGCGGAGGAGGAGGAGGAGGAGGAGGAGGATTGTGGGGTCCTTGGTATTCTCTGAGCTTGGTTGCTTTCTTGCAGACGTTTCATTACCCAACTAGGTAACATCATCAGTGCTGGAAGGGAGTGGGGTTTGCAGGGAGGAGGAGGAGGAAGGGAGGAGGAAGACTGTGGGATCCTTGGTGTTCTCTGAGCTTGGTTGCTTTCTTGCAGACGTTTCATTACCCAACTAGGTAACATCATCAGTGCTAGAAAGGAGTGGGGTTTGCAGGGAGGAGGAGGAGGAGGAGGAGGAGGAGGAGAATTGTGGGGTCCTTGGTGTTCTCTGAGCTTGGTTGCTTTCTTGCAGACGTTTCATTACCCAACTAGGTAACATCATCAGTGTTGAAAGGGAGTGGGGATTGCTTTTCAGTCCTTCTAGCCCTGATGATATTACCTAGCTGGGCAATGAAACGTCTGCATGCAAACAACCAAGCTCAGAAAGCACCAAGGGCCCCTCATTTTAACCCTGATCTACAACTATTCAGACCCACTTGTGAATGGGTGTTAACGGTTGTGACTCCGGAGACCGACTGTTCGCTCTGGCAAAGCTTTTTCAAAACAAATCAGGGCTCTGCTGCAAGTTCACTCAGCCAGAGGTAGGCAGTGTGGACTGCTGACGTTTTAAGACACGTGCCATCATTCCTGCCATTTTTGAAGCCGGAGGGCTTGGCTGAGCAAAGCAGAATGCCCTACTACGCACTTAGTCGGCGGCTGCCGAGTAGCTAAGCAGACGAGTTTCAACTTAGCCCTTCCTGTGAACGTTTGAAAGAAATTCTGGGTCTGATGAGTTGAGCTCAAATCCTTCCAAGGCCCAAACATTGCAAATATCTCTAGTTGGGCTGCTGATGGTGGGTCCTCTTCATTTGCTCCGAGGCACGGTGGGCCCTTTACGTACTCCACAACGTACCATTGGTGTAAACCGAACCGAGTGGTGTTTATTCTCCCTCTTTTTCTAGCATAAGCTCGGGTCTCTCCGACGTAGATTCCACGGACGCTGCCAGCACGTCGGGCTCAGCCTCAACGAGTCTGTCCTGTGAATCAAGGTGACATTAGTCCTTTGTCAATTGAAAATGCTTTATAAATTGAAAAAAAAGTGTACCAGATAGTTCTCAGCTTACGACCTTGTTTTTCATACTGACGATGTCGTGTCCTTTCCCATTCTAAATTTCCCTGCTTGCAGGCCTTTGCAAAACACATACACACACGTGGAGGGAGAGGGAGGGAGAGAAAGAGAGAGACACAGCTGCACACACCTAACCCATTCCCTCACCCTGCACAGTTTTACACCCTCAGAAACCATGACTCTGCTTTCCAAAACCACCAGTTCGCCTCACGCCACAGTCCTAAGAAACTTGGGTTTTTTTGTTTTTTACCCTCTTTCAGCAGGACAAACGTCGGGAGCCGTAAACGCAAACTCTCTGCTAAAACATACGCGGCGCTCGACCCCACCAAGCAGAAATCCTCCGAGCATCTTCGTAGACTTGTCCCCGGCTGCTCCTTGGATGGCAGTGACCGTGCCAGCAGTTCGGATCGCCCGGACAACGCCATTGACTGCCAGACTTTGGAGAGCTTGAGCGAAGATGACTTATCCCTGTCTCACCTCCAGTCCTCCATCAGCAGCTACTTCGGAGCCACCGGCCGGCTAATTTGCGGAGAGAAATATCAAGTCTTGGCTCGGAGGATCAGCCCGGAGGGAAAAGTGGAGTATCTCGTGGAGTGGGAGGGCAGCACTCCCTACTGATGGGTGTCGGGATCCGGCACTTGATGCCATAAGAGAGGAACAGGGTGGGAATGGTGGAGCCAACTACGAAAAGCAGATTTGTTCTTAAACTGCCTTGTACAAAGTCTGTTTAAGATCAATTTTTTTCCCCAGAGGTTTCCTGTTGTAGACTCCCTTTGGGTTGGGCTAGGAAAGACGGAAGGGGTGGCTTCACGGCCAAATATTGCTCAATCTTAGCGCCGTTTGGGGCAAAAAAAGGGGAGCGAATTCCTGGGTCAGCCCCCATAGAAATGACACCACCTGGACAAAGTTGGCCCCCATCTAACGTGGCACTTATTCCCCCCCCCCCCCGGTGGTAAAGGATAGCAAGAGGTCATGCCTCTGTAACAATCAAGAGGAATGAGGGGATAGCTCTGCCTAGCAAATGGGAGGAGCAGAGAGTTTACAGGGAGGTGTTAAAGTAGATGGCAGATAAGATGGCAGGTGTACACAAGCCTATAAGGGCAGACTTTAGGGACCCTCCCAAGCTCCTGGCTGCGCCCCCACAATAACCCTTCCTAAGCTGGGTGGCAGTTCTAATGTGACCGAAGGGAGAAATTAACAAATGCACTAGCGACACACATCTGGATTCTCTTGAACTTAATTTGAAGTCGACATACGGTTGTGGAGCTTCCTTCTGTGTCTGTTTTGGGCTGGATGATTTGCGGGTTTTTTTCAGCTGGCGTGGACAAAAGCCTAACATTTGGTCATAACTTCAGCCAGGATGGTCCGGCTATGACAAATATCTCAAAAGGAGCCAGGAAAAGCACAAAACTGGCTGTTGCATTTTACATTGTCAAGGGTCCTTTTTTCACAAGTGCCTCTCTCTCTCTCTCTCTCTCTCTATATATATATATAGTACATTATAGTATATTTGCAGAGCAATTCTGAATCTAACTGTATTTTCCTGCTCCTGTTTGCACAGTTTAGCTCGAGGCCCCTACAAACAAGACAGGGCTTCTAAAATATATATTCTTCCTCCCCCCCCCTCCCCCAGAAGGACTTATTTGTATTTTTAAATATTATAATAATTATTTTTGCATTGGTTTGGACTGATCTTGTAAACGCTTCTATTGCACCTTCACAGTGTCAAGGCTGCTGCTTTTTTTTTTTTAAATAACTGACCTTTTTGTGTGTTCGTTCTGTTCAAATGGCAATGAATGTGTCAGGGGTACAATTATTAAAAAAAAAAGAATTATTGATAACTTTGCCATAGGTTTGTATTGCTAGCGCTGCGTGAGAATGTACGGCAGCTGCAAGAATTACAAAAGGGTCTATGCAAAATGTTAAGAAAAAAAAAAGACTTTCAGACTCAAATGCTTCTGGCCCTTTATTCTTATTACTCGTTAGCAGGGATAGGGGAGGGGGAGAGAAGGAACACTTTAGGCATGCTCAGAGGCACTCTTTTTATTTTATGCACTTGCACTTTATTATCTGTCTAAATAGAGGCCTCCGAGTTAGCTATAGATACACACACACACACACAGTGTGAGCAAGTGTCCGATTTTCCTTACGGTTTGAGTCTAGTTTTGAGTTAGAAAACAACTTTTTAAAACTCAGCTGGAGGTCATAGGGGTAAAGAAAGAATGATAGGCCCCCTCATTTGCGGTAAAAACTGAAACAGGACGAAGCGGGGAAGAACCTCCAAAGCGCGGCAGCTCTTGAATTTACAAGCGTCTGCCGGAGGCTGGCTAATACATTCTGGTTAGGACGATTTTGTAAAAAATTTTAAAAGGGTTCTTGGAGGGGAGAGGCGTCACGTTAGCCCCGCATAGCGGCTTCGTTGAAAGACACGGAAATGTGGCATATCCACTCATCCGCGCGGGGTCAGCCTCTTAGGAGTGGGAGGGACCTCCTCCCTCCTCTCCTTCCCTCCCGCCCGGCTTCTCCATCCAATCATCAACCGGAGCGCTTGCGTGATCGCCACGTCGCAACAAAGAGGGCGCCACCGCGCCTGCGCAGCCTTGCGGACTCGAAAGGGGCCTTCGGCCCCTTTGCCGAATTCTCGCGAGACGTTCCCTCCTCTTTCCAAGATGGCGGCGGTTGAGGTAGACGCTGCTCTGGCGCTGCTGAGCCGGGTCGCTACGCTGGAAGAGCCGCTGGAGGAGCTGCGGGCCCTGCGGGCGGCCGTGCAGGCTCTGCCCCTCGGCGCCCTCCGCGAGCGAGGGCCCGGCTACCCCCTGGCTGGGCTCTTCGTCCTCCTGGCCCGCGGGGAGAGGTGAGGGTGGATTGGGGGGGTCCCTTGCACCAAGGCTCTAGTCCTCGTGGAGGACCTGTTATGTTCGGGGGGACAATCCAAACCTGGAATAAACAAAATGGAGACTGCTTTAGGGAAGATGGTCCAATTTATTGAGTTGTCAGAATATTCTGCCTTTTTTAATATCCCCCCAAATATTTACAAATACACTGGAGGGTTTTAAGAAGAGACTGGACAGCCATTTGTCCGAAATGGTATAGGGTTTCCTGCCTGAGCAGGGGGTTGGACTAGATGACCTCCAAGGTCCCTTCCAACTTTACTACTACTACTACTACTACTACTACTACTACTACTACTACTACTACTACTATTATTATTTCCTTCTCTGTGGGGGTGCTGACTTCCTACATTTGCATGCATATTTGATTGTGTGTGTATATATATATAGATATATAGATATATAGATATAAATATATAGATATAAGTACACACACACACACATATACTGTATGTACATATATAAATACAAATATGTGCCATATACACACAAATCTCTATACACACATGTATGTGTGTATAAGGGAAATATTTGTATATGTATAGAGACATTGATGTGTATGTGTATATGGCACATTTGTATTTATAAATGTTCATACACTGTGTGTACACACACACACACACAAATATGTGTCTATATATTTCTATGTGGATGTAGAAAGTTTTGTTTTTAGTTGCAAACATTGTGCCTCCTGGTCTCCAGTCCCTCCTTTCTTTCCCTTTCTTCAAAATGTTGCTTTATAAATGTGGAAACTCTTGAAATGACCATAATAATGTTAAGAGAGAGCAACAATAGGTTGGGAAAGTGATTTTATGCTGTCTGTAGGTTTTGCAATTGCTGGTGAATGCTTGGGCAAGGTTTTGGAAAGGGTGGGGTTAGTTTGCATGGAGAGTTCTGGTGGTGTGTGTGTGTGTGTGTGTGTGTGTGTGTGGGAGAAGCCTTTGATCTTCATCACAATCAGTTCTTCCTTGAAAATTGGTGTCTGAAGGCTTGGGCTTTCATAAGAGCGGGACCGTAAAGGAGTGAGATCATTTATTTTGCACTGTATTTACGCCTTTCCTTATTTCGTTAGCAAACACTGGGTTTTCCTTTCTCTTGCAAAACAGTGAGCAAATCTCTTTGTGTGTCTCCATCTTGGAGAGATTCCTGCAAGTCATGGATCCCTTGGATGTGATCCAAAACTTTGGGGAAGAACTTCAGAAGGGACTGTTCCACCCTGATGATTCAGTCAAAATCCTAACCATCTCCCAAGTACGTGTTGCAATTTAGCTTCGTAATCTTCTCAACGAGGTTAAGATTGAGATGTTTATCCTGCCGTGCGCTTCTCTATTTTCTGCAAGTGTTTGAAACAACACTGGAGGTGATACACTGTATATTAACCTCGCCTGTCTTGTATGTTATTATGTTTTAATTACAGTTATTGCCTTAAGAATTTTGGCTAGTAAGCGGAATGCAAATGCTTTGAGCTATTATTTTAAAACTGTTGGTTTATGAAACTGCAATGCAGCAGAAAAATAGCAGCTAAGAATGAGATTTAAAGACCAGAAGTAAGAATGTAAAAATGACTATAGATTATGTTGCACCCCTAGGTTGGAAGAGTTGTTGAAGACCCTGTTGCCATCAGAGAAATCCTTAACACTCCTGAATTATTGAGGCAGATTATCTATTGCATTGCTGCGGAGAAAATAGCAGTGGCAAAAGAGGTCAGTGCTTGTGATCTGACAATTGCTGCTTGGGGAGGGAAGGCCATCGATGAATGCCAGAAGATTTGAACTGTATAAATCTCGGCAATTATTTATAAATCTCCTACTCTATTGTGCCAGTCGTTCTCTCTCAGCCCCGGGAAGAAGGCAATGGCAAACCACTTCCAAAATCTTGCCAAGAACACTACAGGGGCTTGCCAAGGATTAAACATAGACTCAAAGGCACATCTCCCTCCCCAAAAATTATTGGTAGCCATTCTGCATTCCCTATTTCTGCTTTTGCAACTCAAATGTAGATCCTTCAAGAATCTCTTTGGGATCCCCCTGCTAAATCTCTTAGAAAGAAAATGGATATATTCAGTTATGCACTAACTTCGATACCCATAACTGTAATCAAAACTCTTTATTTCTTGAGTATTTCTAATGTCAGTTGTGTGCCTTTCTCTGTGTTTAGGCCTCTGACAAATAAATTCAAATAAATAATTTTTAAAACCCCCAATGTGCTAGACTACATGACCCCATTGTACAAAGGCTTTCTTCCTTCTGGAAAATATTTTTCTGAGAATGGTTAGGTCTTTCACCTTAACCCGCTGAAGTGGACAGAAAGGGCTCTGTATTCAAAGTTTGCAACTATTGTGCCTTCTGCTAATTCAGGGTCTCCACACCCCGGTGTGTGCATAGGTCTGCTTCTCCCATTTTCATTGACAACTTTGTTTCTTAGGCCATCAAATCTTTGTCCAGGATAGCACAATCGCCTGAGGGTTTAGAAGTTTTACTGGCGGGGAATTTGCTGATCGACTTGAAAAATGTCATGGCGAAGAGCGACATCATACGTTATCGCGTCTATGAGGCAAGAGTTAATGTGTTTTTTTGGGGTTTTTTTTGAGCCTAGCAGATAAAAGAGGGCAGAAATGCATGTCTTTAACTGTCAGGTGGGTGATGTAACTTGGGGATTTAGAAACAATTCTGATTGTGGCTGGCTGGGGGTAAGGATACGTTCCAAGTTGGATAAAATTCGTGGTATTATATGACGATTAAGGGGGGAGGGTGTCCAGAGATTCTCAAGTCACTTGTCCCAAAGATGCTTTTTCAAAAGGCAACTGGACTTCGTTTTTCCTTGAAGACATTTCACTTCTCCTCCAAGAAGGTTTTTCAGTTCTAGAAGCTTCCTGGATGAGAAGCGAAACGTCTTCAAGGAGAAACGAAGCCCAGCTGCCTTTTGAAAAAAAAAACCACTTTTGGGACAAAGGGAGAAGATACATATGAAAGAGAATTTGGTAGTAGGTGGATGTAGAGCTGGAGACTAGGATGCAGCTTCTTTAAATGGATTAATTTTACTTGGCACTCTTAAGGCTACGTAAAGACTAACATTAACAGAACAGAAATCTCTCGGAGGGAATAGGATTTTTTATTTTCATTTTAAAGGGAAATAAACGGAGCGGCTTAACCTGTCTACATGTGCTGATTTTTCTTAATTAAATAACGGCACATCTGACTTACAAATGGGGGAGGTGTGGCTGCCTATTGGCAGCAGAGACACCTGCAAGGAGACTTGGCTCAGATTCCTGTCTTGTGTGCCTTTGTGTTAGCTAGTGGTCAATATTTCCTCCACGTCGGTGGACTCTCTGAACTACTGCGTGAACAGCGGTTTAATAGCGGACATGATTGGAGAACTGACGGGAAACGACGTGCTTGTCAGGTACGGGACTCAGCACGAATGAGAGGCCAGCAGGCCTTGGGGGCGTCCTTGCCATCTCTTTGCTGCTTGTAAATGCATGGCTGTGTCCCAATCTTGCTTGCTCCCTATCGCCAGTCCCTCGCCCGATAAAATAAAATAAAAAGAGGCGTATTGATTCTCATCTCTCTGAAGCAGTCCGTTTGTTGTTTTTTTGTTTTAAAACAGAGCGACCTGTATAGAGATGGTGACCTCACTCGCCCACACTCAACATGGACGACAGTATCTTGCCCAGCAAGGCATCATCGACAAGATTTCCAATATAATCATTGGAGCTGATTCGGATCCCTTCTCCAGTTTTTACCTGCCAGGTGATTACAGGTGGCCTTTGGGCCTCTTGATCTTAGTAGGGTTGATACTGTATCTCTGTGGCCTGCTATTCTCCACCCCTGTAGTGCAGTTAAATGTATGCTGGAGGCTCCCAAAGGGCCTCTTTCATTGGCCTTAAGCCTACTTTGCATTCCCCACCATCCAGTCAGAGCTGAAGAAGCTTCTTGGATGAGAAGCGAAACGAAACTGGAAAGTCCAGTTGTCTCTTGAAAAAAAAGCACCTTTGGGATGATTTGCATTCAGCAGCACTCATTCTGCTTCACATTAGGGATCCTCAAGTTTCTGTCAGGCTCTCAGTTTGAGTGTTGGTTCAGTTTTGTTTTCTGCAGAGGGAAGAGCTTGCCCTGGATAAAGAGGGCCTAGATCTCTGATAGGAATAATTTGCTTCCTGTATTTATAAGGTGGAACCCGTATCAGTTCCTCTTAAGAAACACGGGGCACTGCTTTCGGTTCTGCCCACCTGCAGCCCGGTTTGTGTCTTCGCCGTGCCCTTACAAGCAAGAAGAGGGAAAAGTTAAGTGATCAAGTGCACAGTGGCTCCAGGGGCAATCCTCTCCTTGCTCTGTTTTTGCAGGTTTTGTTAAGTTTTTTGGCAACCTGGCCATCGTGGACAGCCCCCAGCAGATCTGCGAGCAGTACCCTGCCTTCGTCGAGAAGGTCTTCAACATGGCCGAAGTCCAAGACCCAACCTTGTTTGGCGTGGCGGCGGACACGGTCGGGATCTTGGGCTCAAACGTGGAGGGCAAGCTGGTGCTCCAGAAGACAGGTTCGTCCAGCGGGCGCGGGTAAAAGTGCACATCTGGTTACAGATGTGGAGGGAGGAGATGCTGTACATGCCTAGCCCAGAGCAGAGTTTGGTTTGCCTTCCAGGGAGTCGGTTCCATCGGGTGCTAAACAGAATCGGGCATCAAATAAAGAACGCCCCGGCGGAGATGAGAATCCGATGTCTGGATGCTGTTTCATCCCTTTTGTACTTGCAGGTAAGTTATCGGCACCTCCCCGGCCACCCACGTGGCCCCTCGCGCTCTCTCCCACCTGGCGGCAGACACTTCCCTGCCATCCAGCCAGGCCCCAGAAGTATATCCTGCCATTGCAAACGCCACTGAATGTGACCCGAAGAAGAAGCTGGATGTTTTGTTTTGAAACTTTCAAGAAAAAAAGGGATGGGTCAGAGGCGTTTGCAAACTCACCCGCTACTCTTTTGCACACAGCCTGAACAGCAAACCGAAGATCTTCTCCGGATGACAGAATCGTGGTTCTCCTCTCTATCCAACCAGCCTTTGGAACTCTTCAAAAGCATCAGCACTCAGCCTTTCCCTGATCTCCACTGCGGAGCCTTGAAAGTCTTCACTGTAAGATACTTTGGGGCAGCTTCTTCCCAGCCTGGCATTCTTTGGGGTGGCATCAGCCAGAATTTTTCAGCCGGCGGTCGAGGATAATCAGGGTGATGTTCCAGCTGAACAGGAAAAACTGCTTTAAGAGACTGGCTTTCCTCTGCTGGTTAATTCTGTTTTTTGTTTTAATTTGGAAGAGGTGGCTTTTTTTTTTTTTTACATATTTTATTAATTTTTATAAAAGGACATTCTTTAGTATTTAGCAATCAGCATCTTGTCTGGACTGATGTGTTTAAAAGACGATCAGTAATAGTGTCTATATTTTCATAATCAGCATGTTAGTTAATAATATATTTCTTATATCTTCACTTCACCCGATAGTCTTCTTCTCACTAATACATATTTAAGGTTACATAATACATACCACATTCCTTTCTCTCCAACTCCTTTTTCTAGCCATTGATAAAAATTGTCCCCTGTTCTAAAGTCTACTGAACGGAAGAGTTTTTTAACCTTACCTCCTGATTAAATGACTTCAGGGGGTCTTAAAGAGAGGCTAAACTGTAACATGGGCAGGACAAGAAGCAACGGGTGGAAACTAATCAAGGAGAGAAGCAACCTAGAACTAAGGAGAAACTTCCTGACAGTTAGAACAATTAACCAGTGGAACAGCCTGCCTCCAGAAGTGGTGAATGCTCCAACACTGGAAGTTTTTAAGAAGAGACTGGACAGCCATTTGTCTGAAATGGTATAGGGCTTCCTGCCTGAGCAGGGGGTTGGACTAGATGACCTTCAAGGTCCCTTCCAACTTTACTATTATTATTATTATTATTATTATTATTATTATTATTATTATGTATAGAAGTTTTTCAGCAAAACCCATCGTAAACGCAGCCGTGTTGTCAAAACACCCGAAGTCTGGGAAGACACAACTCTTAAAACTTTGACTTTGAGTCATGAGTAGCGCCGTTGTGACTTAGAACGGTTGCTAAGAAAGAACTGTTTATAAGTTGAGGACTAGTTTCATCAGCTTTTACATCGGGTTAAATATATTAATTAGACTGATGACGTTTTGTAAATGGAAGGAATTCAGATGTCAACCATTTAACAAAATCTGCCTTGTTTTCCCTTCCTCCTCCCCCCTCCCCCCAGGCCATTGCAAATCAACCTTGGGCCCAGCAGGAGATGTTGGCCAGTCCTGGCTTTGTGGAATACATCGTGGACCGATCGGTGGAACCAGATAAAGCTTCTAAGGAGGCCAAATACGAACTTGTCAAGACTTTGGCTAACTCAAAGACGACGGCCGATATTTTGGGAAACCAGCATTACTTAAGATTGAAGGCTTATATGCGTGAGGGGCCGTATTACGTTAAGGCTGTCTCAACTACCGCTGTAGAAGGAGCTGAGTAGCTTTGGAAGATGTAATTTTAAGCTACTGTTCAGTAATTCCAGGGCTAACTAAACTTTCTGGATTCCTGGAAGGTGAGGCTGGCCTGTTGTTTTGTAGAGAGGAGAAGGAAAGGGTGGGAAATATTAACTTGGTATGAGGGTTTGTTTTTTTGGGTTTGGTTGTTTTTTTGACATTGAAATGCCAGTTGGTTTGAAATAGGAAGAGTTCCTAGGTATTTTCCCGATGGAAAACGCAGGTTCCACCATTTCACGCTCCTTAAAATCCAAGAAACCAGTAAGAGAGACTCTATAAAGTATAAAGGAAACTATTTTTCCTAGGATAATGTTGCAGGACCCTGGGATATGTATATTCGCCTTCCTTTGTGAAAAACATTTGTTTGTTTTTTGTTCATCACACGGGTTGTTTTACCATCTGGGTTTAAGATTTGTGCTCAGAGGGATTCATTTTTCATCACCTCCTCAGTGTTGGTTTTTTTGATGTTCCAATTGCCGTGACACAGATATTCCTCCACACAACTTTACGTAGGGAACAAGCAAACTGATTTAATCCGGGTTCTTAAAAGCAAATGGAAGAATAAAGAATATATCTTACATAAAAGGCTAAACAAATCTCCATTTTACAAAGCAATGCTTATTCTCCCCACCTTCCACTGTCCATCCCCCCCCAGCTCTTAATCTCAACCCCAGGAACGGAAAAATTTATGCTCACTTCTCAGAGACTTTATTCCCAACAGTCTCCTCCAAAAAAGACATCTTCCAGTGCCTTTAAGAGTTAGTAAATATATATACACACACACTTCCTTAATTTAGTTAGGACCCAGCCCTGTCACTTTTCCTACACACCAGTCTGCAAACATGGTACAATTTGCATCAAAAAGTGATTCTTCATGAAGGACCAGAGTCCAATAGGCATAATCCAGCTCAGCTTTATGGGTGTTAAATGCACGGGTGGCTTAATACCTGACTAATTTGTGAAGCAGCAAAGTAACCCCACAATAGATGATTCTACGGCTGTAGTAACGCTTGAGTGGTTTCCCCGTGTGCAGACATTTGTTTTTCTTCTGTTCTGCTTTGGGTTCAATTGTGAAATACGTCTTGAACTGAAGAAAGTGTGAACGTCGGTACTCGCAGTCCGGGTTTCAGTCCCGTTTCGATCAAGCTTCTGCCTTTGGTGTATATGTTGGCTCCAAAATACTGCTTTTGTTGTGCTTATAAACATCATGTAGAATTACCCTTTTCAAAGGGGAAAAAAAGTGTGCAAAAAGTCTCCAGCTTCTTGTCTCCTTCCACTCCCCACCAATCCAGTCAGAGCTGAAGAAGCTTCTTGGATGAGAAGCGAAACGTCTTCAAACAAAAACAGGGTTGCAGTGTCCTTGCTCTTCTCTGGATTTTTTCCAAACTCTCTACATCTTTTTTTGTGATATGGTGACCGAAATCGGCTGCAGTACTCCAGGTGTGGTCTTACTAGGGCTTTATAAAGCGGTACTAGTACTTCGCGTGATCTTGATTCCATGCCTCTGTTTATACAACCCAGGATTGTATTAGCTTTTTTGGTTGCTGCTGTACACAGCTGGCTTATGGTCAAGTGATCGTCTACCTTTATACAAGGAGTTCTCGAGTTATGTAGTGCTGAACGAGAAATGAACAATTTTGGTCACATGGCTGGGGATGCCGCAACGATTGTAAGTGGGAAGACCGATTGTAAGTCTCTTTTTTTTCCAGCAGAATAGAATATAGAATAGAATCCTTTATTTGGCCAAGGGTGATTAGACACACAAGGAATAAGTCTCCGGTGGAGAAGCTCTCAGTGTACATGCAAAGCAACAGAATAATACCAATAAGAAGGGGGAGTAAGTAAAATTGTTGTAAGCCCACAAGGAAGCCAAACGGAGATGCTATGATTTGATTCTTCTAGTCAGAAAAATACAGAGCCTCTTTCTGAACGGCGTTGACTCGCAAAGCTTTCAACCCGTCCAGATACGTCTTGATTCTGCAGGACACCAGCCCATAATAGGTTTCCAGGAACGTGCAGTCTTTACTGCCGTTCATCTCCCTCCATTCCTGGAGAAGCTGGCTGGTCTCTGAAACAGTGGAAGTGAAAATATATTGATAGCAGCATCGGTTGTACCAGATACGTCTTTCCCCAGAAAACCGGGAGCTGTGGACGGGCGCCACGCCGGCCGCCCTTGCACAGACACCCACAAAGATGCCAGGGGGTAGGGAAAGAGGAACTTCTCCAGATGTTACGTAGATCTTCCGAGCAACATCTTGTGAGATGACAAAGGCCGTAGCACTGCAGTGGTCGGGATAGTACCGTTCAGGATATTTTTTCACGGAGACAAAAGTGCCATTTTGGGATTCTTCGCTAGGGACGTTTTGATGAACCACCCTCCCAAGATAGATGTCTTCCGGGCGAGTTCTTAAGTTGAGCAAGTATTCAACCAAGGTTTGGAGGTTGGCAAACATATCCTGGTCTACCTTGAGAATGAACCTGGCCTGGGGACAATAAGTGACGGTCCACTCTATGGCCCTCTTGATCTTCAGCGTCTGGTTCTCTGGGCTATCAAGAAAGATTCCTTGGATTAGATCCTGTTCCTGGTCTGATTCCTTGATGACCTCCATTTGGGCGCTAGCTGAAGATGGCTCACCCAACACAAACAAGGCCAGAGTGGTGTAACCTTGGATGTCGGTCACGTTGGCCCACGTTTTTCGAATTGCGTTGCGCCTGGACAGGTTTTCGGGGCTACTGAAGATGAGAACCAGCAGGAAGATCTCTTGTTTGGAGCAAGCTTCTGGGTTGCTAAGAACATAAGCCTTGGAGATGTTGGTTTTCATGGAGGACATGTCCAGTATCCGGGCTCTTTCCCGAGCTCTCAGGACTTTCATGTCCATGTAAGTGGTGGGGATGGCTTGTAAGAAGTATTCTTCCAGCAGATCGGCTCCGAAGAGCAAAATGTGGAAAAGGGCCACACTGACGAGCATAAAACACCACTGGTGAGTTCGGAGCCTACAAAATAGCTGTGGAAATGGAGAGGAATAAAGATTAGTGCTCATTTCCTTCCAACATTTGTGCTTTTCAGTTCTTGCTGTAGAGTCAGAAATATTGACAAGTAGAGTAAGATAGGGTAGGGTAGAATATGGAATGGAATAGAATAGAATTAGAATATAATAGAATAGAGAAGGAATGGAATGGAATGGAATAGAATGCAGAATGGAATAGAATAGAATATGATAGAAAAGAATTAGAATAGAATGGAATGGAATAGAATAGAATATGGAACAGAATCCAAAGGAATCTAGCCAGCTAGACAAAATCTGAATTAGAAAGTTTTATTTCCTATTTCAGTCTGGCAGCATAGAATGTGTGCTAAAAACCACAAATGTCAAACTGCTCCTGAATAGATTAGCAAAATGCACTTCAGAGGGAAAAAAAGCATTTGATTTTTTAAGTAGGATTTAAAACCTCATTTCAATATTGTCAGAATAGTGTTAGAAGCTCAGATCTTACCTGCATATTCTTGGTGGAGATGACGCTTGAATTTGTCAAGTCGAGAGGTGGTGTGTACACCTTTGGATGCACGGGGAGCCTTTTTGCAATTGGAGTAGCATTTCATTTAGAAAAAAACACCCAGATACAGTTTCCCTTGTGTCAGGAACCAAGTTCAACATTCTTTTTTTTAAAAAAAATTTCCATCCTCTTTTGTGTCCGAGCAAAGCCGGTGTAATTCCAGAGGACGGTGATCATGTTACGTGTTGGCATAGAATTCTTAATTTCTGACTGTACCACAACAGAGGCTACAGAAGAGTACAACTGAACGAAGGCAGGTGTGTGTGTGTGTGTGTGTAAGAGAGATTTTTAAAGAAAAGATTGTGGTTTCAGTGAACAAAAGCTTCTGTTTATATTTGCCATTTAGAGAACTCTTAAGTGGCAAACATACAACATGCCTTCCCCCCCTTATAACATATATATGAAAAGAATAGAGCTGGAAGGGACCTTGGAGGTCTTCTAGTCCAGCCCTCTGCTCAAGCAGGAGAACCTATACCATTTCAGACAAGTGACTGTCTAGTCTCTTCTTAAAAAACCTCCAGTGATGGAGCGCCCGCGATTTCTGAAGGCAGGCTATATCCCGTGATATCATGTATTATTCTATTATAAATATAACATTATTATCCTACTACAAATAAACCACCTTTATTTATAAAGTCTGCGGGGACCAAGATGAACGCGTGGCCGCATTCCTGGCTCAGCCCAGGGGGATCCGTTGCCCGGCCAAGCACGCCAGCTTCGCCCGGCATGTGTCAAGAGATCTCTTTCCACAGGTGGAGCCTGGCACATGCGGACCCAAGCAGATCTCTCGGCTTCTCCACAGCTGCTCACCCCCATCTTTGACGGTTTCTATTAACTCCGGGAGGAGGCGGGGAGGGCCCGGCTGGACCCAAGCTCAGATGCACCCTGCCTGCCAAGTGAGAAGACACGAGATGCATGTGTGCAACTCGTTGAACTAACACGGTCCCTTTGCATTTCGATCTGACTTATTTTCCCCGCTTTTAAAATAATGTTCAGGCTCATTGGAATGTAGGAAAAGATAAACTGGCTGGATAAGAAAAAAAAAAATTCGTCGGTACCCATTTGGGTCTGGTTTATCTCTTTTGTGAACTCCAAACCATCTTTTTTTTCCCCTTACCAACGTCAGACCTCGTTTTAATGAACGTGGGTGATATTCAGGGATGCAAATACATGTAGCATGTCAGACTACACCTATCTGATTTCCTGTGCAAAGGGTGGTGTGTGTGTGTGTTACTTTTATTCCGTCCAATCAACTTTCCTCTTGGGTTTCTTTGTTGTGTTAACTATGACAAGGAATGTCAGATGGGTCTGGGGGGATGCTGCAAAGGTGGTTAAGTGTGAAAAATGGTCCTAAGTCACCTTTTTCAGGGCTGTTGTGACTCTGAACGGTCCCTAAATGATCCATTGTAATTTGAGGACTGCCTCTATAAGCCTCGGGGACAAGTGGAAAGGGGGAAGGCCTGGCGTAATCTTAATTAGGTTTTAGTATAGGTTTTTATATGGGGTATTTTAGAGCAGGCCTTTATTTAATTTGATTTTAGAATAGATATTTATTGTGATTTTTATTATCGCCTGTTCACCGCCCTGAGTCCCGTAAGGGAGATAGGGCGGTATACAAATCTAAATAAACATAAACAAACATAAACAAACAGAAGAAGAGGAAGGCCAGCAGGAAAAGAGATGGACTCAAGAGTCCAGCTTGCAGTGGCTGAAGGACCAGGTGAAGGAGAGATGATCATGGAGAAATTCCGTCTATGTCATCATTAAGAATCAACGTAAGTCTACAGGATAGACTGTCTTGAAGGGGGGGGGGAAATGACATGGTCACTGGGGATCAAAAAGAACTTGATTCAACATCATCCGTTGCACATAAGTTTGCTCCTGGGAGAAGCTGCAAATAGTTCAGTGACAACCTTGTGGTTCTCTGGCTGTTGTCATTGTCAACTAAGCGGGCTCAAGACACCTCTTAAACTTGCCTCTCAGTGGAACCATGTCTAACCTACCTTTTACTTAACTCAAGCCAAATTTAATCTTTTCCTCTTTTCTCCTTCCTTTCCTGTCCATCTTTCCTTCCACAGATGTCTTTGGGGGGTCCAGAAACTCAACGACAGCCCTGTCATTGCCCCCCCTCCTCTTTTTGACATCCACTGGAACAGAAGCAGTGTGGTGATGGAATCAATCAATCAATCCTGAGCCTAACTGCCCCATTGATGTCATGAATTGCACGGAGGGCCAAAGACCTGTGAACTCGAGCATCTAGATGATCTCAAGAGTGACTCATGAGCCCAGCTTCCCAGTTCTAAGCTGGAATAAGATCCCTTCGGCTGGATATCGTGTCTGGTTACACAGACTCTTAGTCTCTTTGGAGAAGGAACAATGGCTTCAAGTGAATTCCCCCCCTCCCGGGCGTGTCACTCAGTGAAGAGAGATGCCTGCTGTTCCTATTTTTGGCTTCGGAGTTCGCATATAAGCCTGGGACTTTGCATCCTGATTCAAGGACAGCCTCTCCGGAGCATCCCCAAGACGAGAGGATGGGTGTATACAAAGAAAGAGGGTAAGTTAACTCACTTTGCACGCTGGAAAAACGGACCTTATCCTATCCCAAAAGGCAACTGGACTTCCTTGTTTTTTCTCGGTCTAACCTACAGCCCTGGGTTCTGTGGGAGGCTCCGATCTAACTGGGTCTCATCCTGGTTTGTTTCCATACCCAACAAAACTAGCCAGGTGCTGCCATCTGCCAAGATAAAATGGTGGGGGTTTTTTGTATATGGTGAGGCTGAGTGGCAAAATAAAGGCTGCTCATTATATTGCTCATTGGAGTTTAGCAATGCCAAAATCTGTGCTGTTCTTCCTTCTTAGAGTAGTTTCCCTTCAAGCCACATTCGGTCAGTCGGACCGTCCAAAAAAGGACTAAAATTAGTAAAGCAGGACCCACGCTCGCCCATTCCTTAGGGGGATGACCAAAACTCCTTTCAGATCTCTTTAAAATAGTTCTCTGCTTGTTGTTTACTCTGAGTCGAGGGATGAGGCGTAGAATCAAGCATCCACGGATGCTTCTAAAATTTCCTTGCTTCTTTTTTTGATTCTGGCGTCAAATTCTCTTTGCAGGAGCAAAATTTACAGCTCAGAACATAATCTTTAGCTTTCCTTTGGAAGATTTCATAGAGAAGGACGATAATCATATTTTTTATATATATACAGTATAATGTTAATGATGATTGAATCTTGGGTTGCCGCAGGGAGCAGATCGAACCAAACAGGAAGCTGGTTAGTTGGAGAACCAATCCTACATCGTCCAACAATGGACGTCCCTTAGAGCTTCTTTATGCAAGTAAGTATGTTGGGTTCTCCTTTTCTGTATTTCTCTGCAGTAGGAACCAACAATGTCCTCTTTTCGTGAGTGGTGGGTGGAGAAGACTACCCAGGAGAGTTTAGAACAAGTTTTTTTTTTTTTAACAAAAGGCTAAATCTTTAAAGCGTTTATTGTTCATACTTCAGCCAAACAGCTTGCAGATTAATAATAATAATAAAAAAGAGCTTATCGTATAAAACAACAGAAAATCACTGGGAAAAAGTCAGCTGAGAACAGCAAATAATAATAGCAATAATCAACATAATAATGCAGCAACGCTGTAAGGATCACAATCTCTTCCTAGACCAGCCAATCAAATATCTGTTGGACGAATTGTTCAAAGGCAAAACTAAACCTACTGCTTTGATTTATAGTTGGAGGCACCACCAGTGGGGTGGAACGTTACAACCCCCTGGATCACGAGTGGCAAATTCTGGGCTCGGCCTCCAGACAGCGGAGTGGCATCGGGGTGGCTTCCCTTAATGGATCCATTTATGCAGCTGGTGGCCACGATGGACTTATTTGCCTCAATAGCGTTGAAAGGTAAGTGGGGGGCCTTGAGGGAAGACCACCAAGGCACGGTAGATGACTGGATCCGTCTGCTTTTTCCTAGCAGACTCAACCTTTGGTCCAGTCTGTTTTCTATTATTTATTTATTTATTTTTAGTTTTATGTTGCTCTTTATTTGTTGGGAGTCGTTCGAGTTGGCGGCATCTAATTAAATAAATAAATCCCCCCCCCCAACTTTCCTTGGGGTCATGTTAGGGAACTAATAGACTCTGCTGGGGGTTTGCAAAAAGGACGGTTCCTGGAGAACGAACGGGAAGCGTGTCTAATGGAAGACTCTCTTTCTTCTTCAATTTTACTTCCTTTTTTTTCTAAGTTGCTTTCCCCGCCTACCTTCTCAGTCTGAAATTGACTGAATTTCCAATTCCCTGCTCTGAACATTAGAAAAAAAAAAGTAACTAAAATTGAGGAAAAAAAGAGAGTCCGTTTGTTCTCCAGAAACCGTCCTCTTTGCAAACCTCCAGCATAGTCTATTGTTCCTTAACATGACCCAAGGAAAGTTGGGGTGGGGGGTTTATTCAGTCTGAAATTGACTGAATTTCAATTCCCTGCTCCCTTCCCGGTCAGAAATTGACTGAATTTTAACTCCCTGCTCCTTTCTCACTCTGAAATTGACTGAATTTCAATTCCCTGCTCCCTTCTCACTCTGAAATTGACTGAATTTCAATTCCCTGCTCCCTTCTCACTCTGAAATTGACTGGATTTCAACTCCCTGCTCTCGACTCCAAGTTGTGCCCACACGTTTTATGGCATCTGCAGAGGCAGCACTGTTTGAATCCCTTGTCATTATCCCAGCGTGTCGAGAAATGTTTTGTACCGTTCCTTTTCCTTGCGAGATGACTAAGACGCTCTTGGTATTTTTATGATGTCTTATTTATTTACAAGCCCAGTCAATTACCCAATGACGTCTGCTCCTTAAAAAAGAAAACATAAGTGCTTCTAATACTCCGGAGCTACTATTCCCTTTCCCAACAGGTGCAAAGCACAAGTTTCTCTCACTTTATAGAGGATCCATTCTCCATTTTCAAAGCTGGCGACCGACAGCTCTCTATCCTGGCTTAGGGATGCGACTTCCAGTCATCAGTGGCCAGCACTGGGTGGTTTTGTTTTTTTTTTCTTAAGCACCTGCTGCCATTAAGCCAGACAAACAAGAAGCTTAGGAGAAAAATGCTTTTGGAATGAACTCACGCCGGTAATTTAAATATTTTCCACCGGTTAGGCAGAGCTATCTCTGTCAATTGAGGCTGAGGGCACAGGCGAAACTCTCCATCAGCTGAGATATGGCTTCAAGGAATGCCACTGGCATCCTTGAGGGCTGAGCTCCTAAAACTTGGCAGACCGGGATGTTGCCTTCCTGGGTTCGTTAATCAAGAATATGGGAAGAGACTCAGGTAGCTTATCCTGTCTGCCCTTCCTCTGTCAATCTTCCTCTTAGCAAAGGGCCCGCAGATCACAAGTGTGTCTTGACTGACAACCGAAGGAGAATTCCTTCTCGTCCTGACCTCTCGGGTGTCCGTTTAGCACCTCGTCACTCCTGTTAGATCTGATGGATTACTTCGGGGGGGGGGGGTGTCGCTGCTCTGTCGGAGCCCAGCTCAACGTCTCCGGCTCAGTGCTGACCTGGCTCGTCTGCCAGCTGAATATGATCTTGGGTCAAAGATGTGTCGAGTTAATTTTAAGCCCCTGTTTGCTGCGGAGGCCGCTTGGAGAAATCGGAGCACTTTGTTGACAGATTAACCTGGTTCCCTCTGATGTTAAGCCAGAAATTCAAATTAGCCTGGTTTGCGTTTCCTCTGCAATCTTAACAACAACAACAATAATAATAATAATAATAATAATAAAGTTGGGAGGGACCTTGGAGGTCATCTAATCCAACCCCCTGCTCAGGCAGGAAACCCTATTCCATTTCAGACAAGTGGCCGTCCAGTCTCTTCTTAAAAAACTTCCGTCTTGTTGGACAAGTCCTTGCTTTGGGTCAGTGTTTCCTCCTCTTCCTTTGGAGGGGGGAGGGAAACACTTCCCCCCCCCCTTGCACACCCAGAACCTCTCCTCCATCTTTCTTTCTTCTTCCCCCGGTAGATATTTGCCCGAAACAAATGAGTGGAAGAGAGATGTCGCCCCTCTTAGTGAACCCAAGCAAGAAGCAGCGATGGCTGAACTCGGCGGTTACTTATATTGCGCCGGTGGCTTCGATGGGCTGGTTTGCTTCAACACGTTGGAAAGGTAAGCCCGTTTGGGATGCCGATTTGAGAAGCACGCTCTACACAACTGGACTGCCCGTTTTGCAGAATCCTCTACTTTTTCGCCCTTGCAGGTACGACCCCGGACTGGACAGATGGCAGAAGTTGACACCTATGAAGTCTCGCCGAAAAGGCCTGGGTTTGGCCGCGCTGGATGGATATCTATATGCCGTTGGGGGTTCTGATGGCTATTCTCCCTTATGTTCAGGTATATCCTGGCTGTGGGCTAAATTAGTTCCTGTTCTATTCCAAGACCATTAAAGCAGAATAACAAGAGTTGGAACGGACCTTGGAGGTCTTCTAGTCTGACCTCCTGCTTGAGCAGAAGACCCTATAGCATTTCGAACAATTTCTGCTCAAAAATCTCCAGGGATGAAGCATCCACAACTTTTGGAGGCAACTTCCGTTCCACTGATTAATTGTTCTCCCTGTCAGGAATTTTCCCCTTAGTTACTTGAATTCTGTTTCAAAACTTTCCAGTTTCTCTCTCTGAGCTGAAGCCAACGTAGCCTTGACTAAGATGTCCTACAGTGCATGTTCTATAATTTCTCTGTTTTTTTATTATTATTGTTATTATTTTGGCATTAATGGCAGGAAGGAGAAGAGTGAAAATAATTGGTGGGTTGGGAACCAATTTGCTACACCGTTGTGGAAGTATTTTATGGTCTCCTAGTATCTTTGCCTCTCTCCCCCTCTCTGCTCCCCTCACACAAACATTAAAAATAGAAAAATGATTATATGTATCTGTGACGTTAATTGAAATCCAAGCTTCTGACTGATGGGTTTCTGTAGGCTGGGTGTGATGAAGGATGGAAAAAAGCTTTCCAAATTCTAATCACGCTTGGTTTACAGTAGCGTGCATGGCTGGGTAATTATTATATTAAACTAATTAACGAAAGAATTTAGAGCAGGCAATTAGTTAACAAAAAGAGGCCCACGCTTGCATTAACACGTCAAAATAGATAAATGCAATAGTTAAAAGATAAACTGTGAAAAAACAATTCTGGAAAATGACCTTATGGGCAGAACCCTATGTTCCAAAAGTAATTTTCCTTGCCTCTTCATTAGAAAAGAATCAAATAACTCCAGTTATATAAAACTCCAGGGGGGGGGGTTGACATACGAAAGGGTATCAATTCAAAATAGGAAATTATTGATCACAGAGAAATTATTGATCACCCAAGACGTAGCCAAGAGGAACACGTCAATACATAACAGAAAACAATCAATCTGGTTTTAGCAATTCTGTGGTTGATTTCAACCCCAAATATGGAAATTGTAGAACAAAACCACAACCGTCTAGTTAATCCTCATCCTTCTGAATTTCATCTCCAACATTCAATACCACATTAGCGTTAATACCACTTTATAATGCCTAGGTAAAACCACCCTTGGAATATTGCATGAAGTTTTAGTCACCACGATATAAAAAAAGATGTAGAGACTCTGGAAAGAGTGCAGAGAAGAGCAACAAAGATGATTAGGGGACTGGAGGCTAAAACGTACAAAGAGCAGTTGCTGGAATTGGGCATGTCTAGTTTAATGAAAAGAAGGACCAGGGTTGACATAATAGCAGCGTTCTAATATCTGAGAAGCTGCCACAAAGAAGAGGGGGGGTCAAGCTGTTCTCCAAAGCACAAGAAGGCAGGAAAAGAAGCAACAGATGGAAACTAATCAAGGAGAGAAGCAACTTGGAACTAAGGAGAAATTTCTTGACAGTGAGAACAATTAACCAGTGGAACGACTTGCCTCCAGACACTGTGAGTGCTCCAACATTGGAAGTTTTTAAGAAGAGACTGGACAGCCATTTGTCCGAAATGGCATAGGATCTCCTGCTTAAGCAGGGGGGGTTGGACTAGATGACCTCCAAGGTCCCTTCCAGCTCTGTTATTCTGTTAATAAATAATATAATACAGTACCATGCAATGCAATGCAACGTGCCTCCAGAAGATGTGAATGCTCCAACCCTGGAGTTTTTTTAAAGAAGAGACTGGACAACCTTTGGTCTGAAATGGTATAGGGTTTTCCTGCTTGAGCAGGGGGTTGGACTAGAAGACCTCCAAGGTCCCTTCCAACTTTGTTATTCTGTTCATAGGAGTTTATACCGCCCGCTTCCTGTTCCAAAAGCAATCTAGTCCTTTCAGGTTCTTTTTATACAGAAGTATGACTTTTTAGGACACAGACTGTCCCTTTCAGCTTTGGAAACAGTTAATTGCCCTGCCCTAAAGTGACAATTGGCAGCACAAAGATAGGGTTGCCAGGTCTGATTCCAAAAAATAGCGGACAAGTGGGGGGGGGGGTTAAGTAGTAAAAAAAGTAGACTGTACAGCTTTAGATTACGTACCATTTCATCATAAAGCTTTTGAATAAAAAAAATGTCCACTATTTTGTGAAAAAAAATAGTGAACATAATGTGAAAAAAGTGGACTGTCCACTCAAATAGTGGACACCTGGCAACCCTACACAAAGATCAAAAGTCCAGGCTCTCCCACCCTTGCCTCTTTCAGTTGAGCGCTACGATCCCAGAGAAGACCAGTGGTCCGCCTGCCCTCCGCTCCGCAGTTGTCGTGAAAACCTGGGTTGCGTTGCCTTGCAAGGCAAGATCTATGCCGTCGGAGGGCAGGATGAATTGACCGAACTCCGCAGTGCCGAGCGCTTTGATCCTTCCACCAACCGATGGACGCCTGTTAGGCCCATGAGGTCAAAAAGGAGTAAGGTAAGGAGACCAGATAGGAAAATACAGGTAGTCCTCGCCTTACAATTGAGGCCCAAAATTTCTGCCAGAAACCGATCCGGGCAAACAAGCGAAGCCTCGTCTGCGAGATGCAGGCAGCACGCGAAACCACAAAAATCTCTCTCCATGGAACGGGTCCCTGGTGCCCCAAAGGTTGGGGGGCAGCTGATGTACAGCACCCAATTAAAAGCTTGAGAAGAAAACAATCCTCTTTTTTTAATTATGGAACTGCAGGTAAATCTTGCTGCTATCAATGGGTATCTCCTAGCCATCGGTGGCTATGACGGCATCGTTCACGTTTCCACGGTTGAAGCCTTTGACCTGGACCTCAACACGTGGAGGTAGTCTTCGTGTCCCTTTGCAGACATGCTCAATCGGGTTTGGTTTTATGTTTTTCCCCTTCTTCTGAATTCTGTATTTTTTGCTCTGTTGCTCCTCATCCAGAGTCTGCAGGTTGGAAGGGGTTAGAAAAACTGGGGGGGGGGGGGAATCCATTAAATAGAGAGGAAGATAATTCATCTCTTGTACAGGTGGTCCACAATGGGGACCAAAGTTTCTGTCGCTAAGCAAGGCAGTTGTGCATGATTTTAGGACCTTTTTACAACTTACCCTTCTAGGTAGCATCTTGGGGGCTGTAAGGGGGAGAGAGCAAACCCCACTCCCTTCTAGCACTGATGATGTTCCCTAGTTAGGTAATGAAATGTCTGCAAGAAAACAGCCAAGCTTAGAGAGCACCAAGGACCTCCAAAGTCGTCGTCGTCATCGTCCTCCTCCTCCTCCTCTCCCTTCTAGCACTGATGATGTTCCCTAGTTGGGTAATGAAATGTTTGCAATTAGAAAAGAATCATAGAGAGCACCAAGGACTCCACAGTCCTCCTTTTCCTCCTCCACGTCACAAACCCCACTCCCTTCTAGCACTGATGATGTTCTCTAGTTGGGTCATGAAACGTCTGCAAGGATACCCCCACCGAATTCAGAAAGCACCAAGGACCCCACAGTTCAGCCCTGAGCTGCCAATATTCTATCGGCACCTAGGTGAATTCTAGATGTCCACCTTCGACATATGTGCCATTGTTGTGCGAAACACACTTTGCCGACCAGCTTCTGGAGGCTAACACTTGTTCCCCTTGTTCCTTCTGTTGCAGACGTTTCGGCAACACGAAAAGCCGTCACCCAGGTGGAGGCGTCTCCGTGATCCAAATGGCCACCGAAAATGTGGAATCCTTTGAGTCCCCTTGGAGCAGATAACCAGAAGATGAACCAGGAGTTCTAGTTCTAGGTTCACGTTAGGTAGGGTGAGTTCTTTAGCTAGAGCTGAGCAGTGGCAGGACAAAAGAGCTGAGGATCCATACCCGAAACAAGATTATTTATTTTATTTATTCAGTTTCTATAGCCACCCGTCTCAGTCCAAACGATTCTGGGCGGTGAACCATTTCACAACCGTTAAAACACAAAAATGAAAAATCTACAGCTCTGAATTCACAGAAGCAAAATAGGCGTGTGTTGAGTCCAGATATGTTCACACACCATCATATTTTGGTTAAGATACACCTATGTACACCTCCATATTTAGTGATTGAGCCGTGGTGGTGCAGTGGTTAGAATGCAGTATTGCAGGCTAACTCTGCCCACTGCCAGGAGTTCAATCCTGACCAGCTCAAGGTTGACTCAGTCTTCCGTCCTTCTGAGGTTGGTAAAATGAGGATCCAGATTGTTGGGGGACAATAGGCTGACTCTGTAAACCGCTTAGAGAGGGCTGTAAAGCACCGTGAAGTGGTATATAAGCCCAAGTGCTATTGTTATTCTAAAAAGGGCTAAAAATTCTATTTACCATTATGTTTCTTTCTTTGTTTTAACCACATTCCCTGTGATCCTGGTTTGTTGACTAAAAATACTTCTTGGCCCTAGGAGCTTGACTGCAATTACATCAATTGTCCTGCTTCAAAAAAAAATATTCTCCTCTAAATTCAGATTGGTGTTCTCTAAGTTTAATAACCTTGGACGCTCCAGGTTTAAAATAAAGCAACTGAATGGTTCCCAGTAGTCAAATAGATTTACACACTCACACACAGCAAAGTGTGCCCGAGTTTGCACTCTTTGCTAATATCCTAATAATCTTTGCTCGGTGATTTGATTCATCCAGGAATGTGATCCAAGGGAATGCTTCTTCCTAGATGGCGTGATTTGCAGAATAAATTGGACAAAAGACAGCCAAGGTCGCTCTTTTTTATTGGTGCCGAAGAAAAACATTTTCTTTCCCGATAATACTGACATTTAAATTTTCTGTCATCTTGTGTGCATGTTCAAAGCAGGACATGTGTTGTGATCCAAGGGATCAAGGCAATTCCTTGGCCTCTCCCTTTCCTTACCAAAGCAGCTCAAATGACAAAGCAAGAAGCATCTCTCTCTTTTTTATTTTTTTTAAAGAAAAAGCTGGCAAGCTAGCATGGCTTGGCCACTTGGCCCAAGTGTTAGACTCTACTTTGCAGAAGTAGGATCATGGTCTGTCTGAGGAGGACTTTCTTACAGGCACGCCTTCCGCTTACAAGATTGTCCATCCATTCCTCTTGGCTCGCTTTCTCCTGTTAGAAGATCTTCCCACGGGGACCTCTTACAAGGCTGGAGAAGTTAGAAGCCAGGAGAACGAGGTGTTGACAGATGCCAGCCAACTGAATGGATTTTTACTGTCGGCACATGCCACAAACACAAACTGAAAAACACACACGTATAGGAAAGGGGAGGCAGAAATACGGAACTGCGCCACGAATCATCGACCCATTAGATTCTCTGGAATTTAATCCCAAGCAAAATATGTACAGCCACAGCTGCTGCTGGCCACTTGCTGGTTTTGGCGGCTGGAGTCTGACTTTGATTGGTATTCCGTTAAGAAATTCCAGAACTGTTAAGAAATTCCAGGATATAGTAGTATTTTTTTAAAAAGAAGAACTTTCCAAGCGCTTAACGTGCAACTGTCAAGAAAGCAGCGTGAATAATTTTATGCAGTAAATAGAGTTCAATCAAGAAGCTGGAGAAAGTATAACCACAGCAACGATAAATCTTCATTTTTATGGTCAAGCGATCAGATTAAAAGGAAAAGAAATCTATGCATCAAAGCCACTGGAACAAAATTAAAAATGCACACGGACCACTCCCAAACAGTGACTAGCATAAATATGCATAACTCTACACAATTCTATTTAACACTTCGCCTAGGAACGACGTATTTCATGTTTTAATATTTATTATTTTGATTGTAAGCCATCCACAGTTGCTCTGCAGAGTGAGATGAGTGGCACATAAATTGAGTAAATACACTCTAGGGCTCAAAGTATTCGCCCTGTAGGGTTTACGATGTTTAATTTGTTGAGATTGATTTGTAAATTTATTACCTTGTTTTCAAGCTGTGAAATTCCACTCAGGAGATTGGGGGCGTTCCCCCCCCAAATTTTAAATTCAGCACAATCTTCTAAAGATTTTGTGTGTGCATCCTGTCCACCTTGTTTTGAAGCCATTGATCAGCTTTAAAAGCTCCCAAATTAGATTTAGCGAAAGTTTTGCAGACTTTATCTACCCCCCGAGATCCGGATGATTCCGGATCTCCTTACTTTCCACCGCGCCCTCAAGACATGGCTTTTCCAGCAAGCGGGCCTGACCTAGGGAGGATTTTAGGTAGGGATGATTTTAAGAAAATTTTAATTGACACACAGCTTCCAATATTTGGCTTTTAATTTGGTTTTATGGGGGTTTTTTTGTTTTTTGATGTATTTTGTTTGTATCTGTTTTAATATGCTGTGCACCGCCCTGAGTCCTACGGGAGAAGGGCGGTATATAAATTAAATTATTATTATTATTATTATTATCTCAGAAGATGAGGATAAAAATGTTGGAATCAAATGATTATGGACTCAATGGCAGTTGTTTTTTTTATGTAGCATTAGGGTCAGCCCAATATAAAATAGCAGTGTGACAGAGGATCAAGGAAACCATCAGAAAAGGCAACACAATCCTAGGCTACATTAACAGAGAGATAGAATCAAGATCACGTGAAGTATTGGTACTGCCCTGGTAAGACCACACTTGAAATACTGCATCCAGTTTTGGTCACCATATTATAAAAAAGATGTAGAGACTTTGGAAAGAGTGCAGAAAAGAGCAACAAAGATGATTAGGGGATTGGAGGCTAAAACATATGAAGAATGGTTTCAGGAATTGGGTATGTCTAGTTTAATGAAAAGAAAGACTAGAGGTGATATGATAGCAGTGTTCCAGTATCTCAGGGGATGCTCCAAAGAAGGAGTCAAGCTATTTTCCAAAGCACCACAAGGCAAGACAAGAAACAATGGATGGAGACTAATCAAAGAGAGAAGCAATCTAGAATTAAGGAGAAATTTCCTGACAGTGAGAACAATTGATCAGTGGAACAGCTTGCCTTCAGAAGTTATGGATGCTCCAACACTGGAGGTTTTTAAGAAGAGACCGGACAGCCACTTGTGTGGAATGGAATAAGGTCTCCTGCTTGAGCAGGGGGTTGGACTAGACGACCTCCAAGGTCCCTTCCAACTCTGTTATTCTGTTATTAAGCTATGATGTTGCTTTTCAAAAGGCTAGGAAAATAACGTTATGAGTTTGTGAATGAGCGGTAACTATTATGTTCCAGTCTCTCCCCAAATGAGTGTTTGGCTGCTCAGCAGCATCCTGTATATCTTCTTCCCTGGATAGTTTTTAAAGTCGCTCTCTATGAGATAATTATTTTAAAAGGGGACCCTTTGAAAAACTTTATTGCATCTCTGCCGCTTGGGCTGCTTTGATTTATTCTCCTGTTCTGGAGTGTTAACGATCCTGGCCAAGGCGTCAATGCATCAGGCAGGATCCCATTTATTGTGCAAGCCGGTGAATTTTTCAAAATCACCCAAGTGACAGAGTGTTTTCAAGGTGAACAGAACGAATAAAGTGGCTGTCCTTAATCATATAGCTGTGATATTTTTTTTAAACTGCTTTTCTGAGTGGAGTACATGAGTAGGAGGCATCAGGGTTGGATCCACACTTGAACAGGGTTGAAACCAAAGTTGAATGGGGTCAGCTACTTCTGCCCATCATCTCCTTATCCCTCTTTGTATCTTCTGCTTTCCCTTCTTTCTCTTCTCAACTTTATCATCCGTCCGTCTGTCTGTCTCTATCTCTATCAATCCATCCTCCCTTCCATCTGTCCATTTGTCTTTCCATCCATCTTTCTCTCCATTTTTAATCTATCCATCAATTATCTGTCTGTCTGTCTGTCTCTATCTCTATCAATCCATCCATCCTCCCTCCCATCTGTCCATTTGTCTTTTCATCCATCTTTCTCTCCATTTTTAATCTATCCATCAATTATCTGTCTGTCTGTCTGTCTGTCTGTCTACCTACCTACCTACCTACCTACCTACCTACCTATCTATCTATCTATCTATCTATCTATCTATCTATCTATCTATCTATCTATCTATCTATCTATCTAATCTAATCTAATCTATCCAACTCTCCATCTGAATGTCTTTTCATCCATCTCTCTATTTTACTATCCATCCATCTCTATCTATCCATCCATGTTATCTTATACATTCTCTCTCTCTTCCACCCCCTCTCCTCTCCATCTCCATCTCTCTCTATCTCTAACTCTATCTAATTTACATGGCTGGCCATCTCACACAAAGTGATTCTGGGCAGCGTACAACAACGAAGTAAAACCTATACAAACCAATCCTTATTCAAAACATATAAAACAGTCACCGTTCACACGATTACAAAGCCCCTCAAGCACAGGAGAGAGTAAACATTATCCACAACAATGGGGCCATCTTGGGACCTAACCCCTGGGACCTTCTCCCTCCCCCTTCCCCACCCCCCCGCCCCCAGGCCAGATGACCTAAGCAGGTCTTAAGGCTCTTCCACCCCGGAGCGTTACAAGAAAAAGCCAATTAAATTTATCTCTCCTTTGGTCGGCCGCTAGATGACGCCAGAAGACAAGGAGCCCCTCGCATGGATCATTTTGTGCAAAGTGGGAACTGGCATCTCTGGAGCATCTCCCTGACCCTCGATGGAGCAGCTTGGAAGAGGGAGACGTCCACCTATCGCCCCTTCAGCCCGGCAGCGATGGTGAATGACGGAGAGGTAAGCCCCCCTGCCCTCAACCAGCTTCCCCAGAATGTTGCCTCCCACCTTCCCCGCCATCCTGGTCTGTCTAAAGGCAGAGATCTGTTGGCCGCGCACCCAAATCCTGGTTCAAACTTCCCGGGCGCTTTTGGCAGGCTGCAGCTGAACCAGGAGAGGCTTGGCTGGGGGAGCTGGCCTTGAGCAGCACAGCCCCACAGTGGGCAGAAAGACTCCACCTCTGGC